ACCAAACTAAATTCCAAACGGTAACGAAGGACACTGCAGCCGAATTGAAGGCAAAGGTCAACAAATTGATCGAAACTGTGAACGCCAAGAAATCCGGACTCCACCTGCCAAAGATTATTGGGGAATATAAGCCTGGATACACGTATGGAAATGTCAAGACACATAAGCCTGGAAACCCACTTCGGCCCACCCTACCTTCTCCCGTGCGTGTATTCGTTACAGACTTGAGGCGGCTGTCCTCAACTTGAAGCACCGGGACCGTTTGTCTTTTCCTGAGGCTTGGCGCTAAGTTCATCGTCTCCCCTCTTTCGCCGGTGTCTCCTATGATCGCGTGGTGCGCTCTTCCTCTCCTCGTCCTTCCCGCCTTCCTCCGTCTCACAACCGTTTCCGAGCCTTAGACCCGGGCACGCCCACCACCTCCTCCCCTGTTTCCCTCCGTTCTGTCCCGAAGGGTCCCCCCTCCTGGTTCTCTGTCTAGGGCTCCCCTCCTTTCTACCCAGTCTGTCACGTCTCCTGTGTATTCTATTTCCTCTCCTTCTAGTCCTCCTTCCCGTCCTTCTCCTCCGTCTCCTGGCTCTCCACGCCGCCTGACTGTGCGGGCCGACGTCATCACTCTCCTGATGGTTGTGTTGCTCGCTCTCGATCTTCTTCTCGAGACATTGGAGTCTGTTGCCCAGTACGTTGCTGCTGGGACGCCTGTATCTTTGAGTCAGAAGCGGAAACCTGGCTCCTCTCCTTCCTCCTCCCCTGTCGGTAAGAAAGCTTCGCTTTCTTCTTCACCCCCCTCTCTCTGATTCTATCATTCCTTCCCCTCCTGCTTCGGTGGTGGTGCCCCCTGTTCCTACTATGGGGGTTTCTTTAGCCCCTGGTTCCATCTCGGTTACTGCCCTTGCTGAGGTGTGCTCCCCTCTTCCTGCCCCCCCCCCCCCCCTCCTTCCCTTCCTTCTCCTCCAAACCCTGCTCGTCCACCTCTGGTCCGTCCTCCCGCTTCTTGCCCTCCTTCTTTACTCAGTTTACCTATGCCCCCTAACCCTGACTTCGCTGCCCCTGATCCTGACTCTGTGCTTTTTTAACGTGCTGTGTTCCTTCTTCACCTTTGTTTCTTCTTTGCTCTCTGTTGCTCTCCTCTCTCTCTTTGCTGATGTCTTTTCTCCAGTGGAACATCCGTGGATTTTACGCCAATTTCCTTGACCTCCAACTTCTCATTTCACAGTTTTTGCCCCTTTGTGTCTGTCTCCAGGAGCCGATGCTTGGTTCTCGTCCTGGTCGCTTCCTTGGCTATTCTTTTCTCTCCTCTCCCCCAGCTGTCGCTGGGGTCCATAATCCTTCTGCTCTCTTGATTCGTTCCGATGTTCCCTTTGTCCCCTTACTTTTTTCCTCGCCTCTCCACTGTTCTGCCGCCCGTATCATTGTACGTAGATGGTACACGGTTTGTTCTATTTATCTACCCCCCACTGTCCCACTTTCTCTTCCCGATCTTAAACACCTCCTAGACTCCTTGCCGGAGCCTGTGCTCCTGCTGGGTGATTTCAATTGTCGTCATGCCCTTTGGGGTGATGTGCTGACAAACACCTGGGGTCGCCTCCTTGAACCTTTCATCCTCTCTTCTTCCCTGTCCCTTCTTAATTCTGGTGAGCCCACTCATTTGGACTCTCGGACTCGCTCCCTTTCTTGTCTCGATCATTCTCTGTGCTCGTCATCCCTTTCCTTAGATTTTGGGTGGCGAGTCCTTGATGACTTCCATGGCAGTGACCATTTTCCTATCCTTGTCACTTTTTTTCTCCTTTCGCCCTCCTCTCTCCTTCCCTAGGTGGCAGTTTTCCGAGGCTGACTGGCGCCTCTTTACTCTCCGTGCTAATATTTCCGACCACTCCGTTTTACCTCTCCCTCGTGCCCTCCTTCTTTTTCATGACACTGTCTTTGACGCTGCCCTCCACTCTATTCCTCGCTCTTCCTCTCGGGGAACGCGGAAGTGCGTTCCCTGGTGGAGTTTGGACTGTGCTCGGGCTGTCCGCTTTAAGCGTGCAGCCTGGAAGAGACATCGCCGCTGGCAGACGGTTGAGTCTTTTCTTTTGTTTCGAAAGGTGAGCGCGGTGGCCTGTAGGACCATCCGAGCGGCTAAACGTGCTTGCTGGGAGTCTTGTTTCCACCGTTACGTCCGAAACTCCTCTTCCACTGGTCTGGAAGTGTATCCGCAAGATTGTGGGTAAGTTCGTTCCCGATGTCTCACCGGTCCTTTGCCTTCATGGTGCTCTTGTGGCGGACCCGTTGCAGGTTGCGACCGAACTGGGTTCCCATTTCTCCTCTGTTAGTTCTGGTTCTCATCTCCCAAAATCCTTCCTTCTTCGTAAGCCTCTCTTTGAATCTCGTCCTTTAAATTTCTGTACTAATCTTCACCTTCCCTATAATGATCCCTTCTGTCTCTCTGAACTTCAATCTGCCCTAGCCCTTTGTGGTTCTACGGCAGCGGGCTCCGATGGCATTCATTATGAAATGCTTCGCCATCTCCCTCCGTGCACGTCTCAGTATTTACTGAGTCTGTACAATCGGGTCTGGGAGTCGTCGTCAGTCCCTGAAGACTGGCTCGATGCTGTTATCCTCCCTGTTCGGAAATCAGGGTCTCTCGGGTCATCCCCCAAGGACTTCCGCCCTATTGCTCTCACGAGTTGTGTCTGCAAGCTCTTTGAACGTATGGTCAACGTTCGTTTGATGTGGTTCAACACTATCGCCACCTCTCCCGTTCGCAAGTTGGTTCTCGCAAGTGCCGCAGCACGGCAGATGTCCTGGTGAACTTGGAGGTCTATATTCGTACTGCTTTTGCTGCGAAGACCTCCGTTGTTGCCGTCCTTTTTGACCTGGAAAAGGCTTACGACACTACCTGGCGGTATCATATTCTGTCTCAACTTCATTCTTTTGGCCTTCGTGGGAACCTCCCTCTCTTCCTCCGGAGCTTCCTCTCTCGTCGTTCCTTTCGTGTGCGGCTTGGTACTGCTCTCTCTGCCCCTTTTCAGCAGTATGAGGGTGTACCCCAGGGTAGTGTTCTGAGCACTACTCTTTTTTCTAGTTGCCCTCAACGGTCTTCTTTCCTCTCTTCCTTCTGGCGTCTTCTCTGCTCTCTATGTTGATGATCTTACCCTTTGCTGTCGGGGTGATGATTCCCCTCTCCTTCAACAGCGGCTTCAACTTGCGATTGATGCCGTGTCGTCTTGGGCCACCGATCATGGCTTCAAGTTCTCTGCGTCTAAGACTTGTGCTATGACTTTTACTCGGAGGCATGTCGTTCTTCGTCCCTCTTTGTCGCTTTATGGTCATCCCATTGTGTACAGGGATTCCGCGAAGCTTTTGGGGTTAGTCATTGACACTCATTTGTCTTGGTCAGCCCATATCTCTTACCTCCGAGTTGAATGCTCTAAGGCCCTAAACCTCCATCAGGTTTTGTCCCATACTTCTTGGGGAGCGGATAGGCGCACGCTCCTCTATTTGCATTCCTCTCTCGTCCTGTCTAAACTCGATTATGGTTGCCCTGCATACTCTACTGCTTCTCCTTCTACTCTTCGCCGTCTTGATGCTTTGCACCATACTGGGTTGCGTCTCGGCTCTGGTGCCTTTCGTTCGACTCCCGCCCTTAGTTTGTATGTTGGCACTGGCTTTCTCTCTCTTCAGGACCGCCGTGATCGCTACTGTCTTCGCTATCTTGCGCGGTCCTTCCAACATCCTTCCTCTCGCCTCTGTCGTGCATTGACTTCTCCTCCTCCTGTGGTTCCTGTTCCTCTTCATTGTCTCCAACTTTCTGTCCGGTTATCTCGCTTACAGGATTCTCTTTCTGTTCATATTTCTAATGTTTCTCCTCGTATTGTTCCTTCCTTACCTCCGTGGAGAGTCCCCCTTCCCAAGTTTTGTACGTCCTTGACTTGTATTACTAAAGCCTTTACCCCTCCTACAATTCTGAAAAGCCTCTTCCTTAAGCACTTTTCTTCACACTCCTGCTCTATTTCCATCTTCACTGATGGGTCTCAGTCTGCGGACGGTGTGGGCTACTCTGTTGTTTTTCCTGACCGTACTTATATCTGTCGCCTCCCTTTGGAGGCTAACGTCTTTACGGCAGAACTTTATGCTATTCTCTATGCTCTTCGTCTCTTGCTTTCTCATTCTCATTCCTCCTTTGTGGTTGTAGTTGATTCTCGTAGTGCCCTCATGGCTCTAGGGTCCTTTAATCCTGTCCATCCGGTGGTCATCGAGATTCAACATTGGCTGTTTCTTATTTCTAGTAAATTTAAATCAGTAGAGTTTTGCTGGGTTCACAGGCATGTTGGTGTTTCTTTCAATGAGCGTGCGGATGCTGCCGCTAAGGAAGCTATCCGTTCTTGTCCCATCTCCCGTAAAGGTATTCCTTACTCCGACTTTTATCCTGTTACTCATTCTTCCATTCTTGCCCGTTGGCAGGGTTGTTGGTCCTCTGTGGTTGGTATCAAGCAGCGTACTCTCAATCGTAGTGTGTCCCCGTGGCCTTCCTCCTACCACCGTAACCGGCGGTGGAAAACTGCTTTGGCACCGCTGCGGGTTGGTCATACCCACTTAACCCACGGTCACTTAATGGAGCGCCGCCCTGCTCCTTATTGTCCGAATTGCGTTGTCCCTCTTACAGTTGTGCATATCCTTGTTGAATGTCCTGGCTTCCAGGACGAGCATGTGTCTTGCTTTCCGACCGTCCCTCGCGGTCACTTGTCCCTCGATAGAATTCTAGGCGAATCGGATACTTTTGATATCGTTCGCCTTATGCGTTTTTGTTCTCGAATTGGCATTCTTAGTGATATTTAGCGCCCTCTGATTAATTCGCACTTTGATGGTGCTACATAGCCTTCCCGGTTTGGTGCCTTCTTTTGATAATTACCTTACCCTGTACTTATACTGACAAATAATTTCTCGTAAATAATACCTTTAATAATATTATGGTGGATATTTGTACAAAATATAAATACATTGCAAACTTCTTACTGTAGGTGAGGTGTGGGTGGCGCTGCTGGTTAGTATGGTTATGTGGGGCGTGACCCTGTGGCTGATGGAGAGGGCGTGGCAATGGGTGGCTGGAGGGCGTCAGGTGGCGCTCAACACAACCTTCCTATACGCCTGGGGTGCACTCCTGCAGAACCTGCCCTCTGAACCGTCCGTCAACTTCTCCAGCAGGGTAGGGGCTGTTGATGAATCATAGTTTTGCTTTTACAACTGTTCTATTGAACCAAAAATAAGCAATAATCTTTTAAAGAACCTCATCGAGTATGCAACCATATACAGCCGAGCACATATATTGACATTGTATAAATGTTATTATTACTGAAACAAACACGAGAGTGCTTAAGAATTTAAAATTTCATTTTCTCATGTTATTCATCCTCAAAACCGCGTACACACACACACACACACACGAGGGGGCCTCGTAGCCTGGTGGATAGCGCGCAGGACTCGTAATTCTGTGGCGCGGGTTCGGTTCCCGCACGAGGCAGAAACAAATGGGCAAAGTTTTCTTTCACCCTAAGTGCCCCTGTTACCTAGCAGTAAATAGGTACCTGGGAGTTAGTCAGCTGTCACGGGCTGCTTCCTGGGGTGTGTGTGTGTGTGTGTGTGTGGTGTGGGGAAAAAAAAAAAAAAAGTAGTTAGTAAACAGTTGATTGACAGTTGAGAGGCGGGCCGAAAGAGCAAAGCTCAACCCCCGCAAAAACACAACTAGTAACACAACTAGTAAACACACACACACACACACACACACACACACAGTAAATGTAATGTAAGTTATGGAAATGGGATCAGGTGACAGGAGACCAAATGGACAGTACACAATGAAGGGGAACAGCCTACCTGTAACGATTCGAGAAAGAGACCTGGGAGTGGATGTGACACCTAATCTAACTCCTGAGGCACATATAAATAGGATAACGACAGCAGCGTACTCTACACTGGCGAAAATTAGAACTTCATTCAGAAACCTAAATGAGGAGGCTTTTAGGGCGCTTTACACTGCCTACGTGAGACCCGTCTTAGAGTATGCCGCGCAATCATGGAGCCCCCACCTGAAGAAACACAAAGAAACTGGAGAAGGTTCAGAGGTTTGCGACGAGGCTTGTCCAGAGTTACGAGGGATGGGATATGAAGAGCTGCTGAAGGAACTGAACCTTACGACACTAGAGAAAAGAAGGGAGAAAGGAGATATGATAGGGACTGTTACGGCCCTCTCGGGACGCAACGGGGTCCTTACTCTGATGCTGTTAGAGGAAGTTATATCCGACCCCAAGCCAGCAGTGGCTTTCAAGGGATGCGATCCGTGACGCAGTAACTTAAAGGGGAAGGGAAATAAAGGCAAAAACTTAATATATTATAATGTCCGTCACCAATAAATAATATATAAAACGGTTACACAAGGGGGGGGGGTATTAACACTATACAAGGGGATTAATCCATAAACGTTGTCTTCTGCTGAAGACTCTGGTGCCACAACTCTCGGTGCTGAGTCCTTGGTGCTTCTTCGTGGCCACACAACGAAATATCCAAAGAAGTTGAGCCTACCCTGGCCACAGGTCAGCCAAAACACAGGTCCACTGGGGGCACCGTCGTGGAGGCCGTCAACCACACGTCCAGCTGGTCTGCTGGCAGGTTCTGAGCCAACAAGGCTGGTACGGCCACTCCACGAACGATATAAGGGGTACGCCCTAGACAGGATCTCGTGTGATATCACAAATCACCCTCCTGTCCTCAATACCCCAGTGGATGATCGTCTCCAACAGTCGGTCCCGGGTAAATCCTCTTACTGCCACTCCACTGGCAGGCTAACACACCACAGTGTTCTTCCGGGGGGACGACTTCACAACAGCTGCAGCAACGTTCAAGGTATGGAGACTGGCTGCTTCGGGTAGACTGACTCCACTTCCATCACAGTGGTCCCAGGTCGGCTCTGTAAGCAGACACGTCCATCAATAACCGGGACACTAATACACCTCACTTACGGGCTCGGGCACAAACACCTGACGTATCCAGTCCATAGATGGCGCTGTCGTCGGAGCATCACCTCACCAGAGGTCAGGAGCGGCGGTGTTGAGCGCTGAACCAGACTGGAAACTGGTCCTCGAGGCCAGTACAACGCTGTCCTCACCAGGTGTCGTCGTCCGTTTGGCGGGGGTTTCGGGAGCTGACCCACAGATGGCGTGGTTGTCACTGCTCCAGGCTCGGACGCTGGATCCGGGTTCGTAACAGGGACATATAAAATACTCAGGGGAATTGACAAAGTGGAAATAGATGAAATGTTCACACGTAATAATAACAGAACGAGGGGACATGGGTGGAAACTGGAAACTCAGATGTGTCACAGAGATGTTAGGAAGTTTTCTTTTAGCGTGAGAGTAGTGGAAAAATGGAATGCACTTGGGGAACAGGTTGTGGAAGCAAATACTATTCATACTTTTAAAACTAGGTATGATAGGGAAATGGGACAGGAGTCATTGCTGTAAACAACCGATGGCTGGAAAGGCGGGATCCAAGAGTCAATGCTCGATCCTGCAAGCACAAATAGGTGAGTACAAGCACAAATAGGTGAGTACCACACACACACACACACACACACACACACACACCACACACACACACACACACACATCAATTGCCAGTCGTGGTGGATGATCAGACGTTGGGAAAATCATGGGGTTTCCAGTAAATTGAGAGGGATAATCAGAATACATCAAAGTGAAAAAGTGTATACAAATGAATGAATAACAGGTAAACTGACCGAAACCATAAGGAAGTGAAGAAAGAAGTTAGATATAGCATAACTGATAATAAGTGTTGAACACAGTGTGACATTGTGAGGTAGTGGAGCTGACCTTGCGCTGACTGTGACCTCACCAGCCTCAATCTGTGACTGACATGACCTCACGCCGGCCCAATCTTACCTGACTACACCACATGGAGAGACGACTGGCTATTCTCTCGCCTATTGTGTAACAGATCGTGTAATGTAATTGGAACACCTATTGGCTAAAGTTGTTTTTATTGCAATGAAGAAATCAGAAAGAGGGTCCAGGTCAAGCAGTAGCAGGGAAGAAGAAGAAGATAGGTTAATAGAGAATCTGATAGGGAAATTTGTTGAGAGGAGGAACGTTTAGATTGAGGGTTTGATCCTGGGTATAAGAAGTGAGATCACTCAACAAATACAGGACGAGATTGAGAGAAAAAAAAAACAAGAACTTGTGGTCTATATTCAGGGAGAAATTAGGAAAAATAAGGAAGTATGGGAAAGTGAATATATACTTGGCTTGTAAATGAATTATGCAGGGTTAACAGCTTCGCTAGGGAGAAAGGATTAGTGAGGGATTGAGTAGTGAGTGTGGGAGGGGCAGGGGGTATCAAGGGGAGAGGCTACAAGCATGAGAGAGTATCACAGAGACAACGGTAAATTATCTTCAATGAATTATTTGAATCTATGGCAAAATCGAGGTACAAAAGGATAGAAATAGAAAAATTAGAATTTCATGAGATTTTGTGATGTATTAGTTTTGAGATGGCAGGAAACGAGATGGAACTCAGCAGGTGGATTAGACCTTGCAATTGTAACAAGAATTGACCTGTCCTGGTACAGTTTTCTAATGAAGAGGCAGTGAATTACATAATGAAGCACAAACATTTACTCAGAGGCAATGAAGGCTATTACAATGTGCTTATTGAGAGACATGAAAGATGAACAAGTAGTTCACAAGGCAAGCCGACCTGCATGCCACCAGGGGCCCCTACTCGCCCATCACCCCTTCCCAAGTCACACCCTCCTATTCCTCCCTCCTGCTTCAACCCCCAACAAATCCGCTGCCCCTTCCTTCGCACTTGCACCCAATTCAACCTGCTACATCACACCCTTCCAAGACCCAATTAGGCAAAGCCATAACTTCCCCAGTCCAACCCTCCCACCCTTCCCCTTACCTACCCTCACCAACTTCTCTGCTCCATCTGCCTCCAATTATATTCAATCCATCTGCTCCATCCCGCCTTCCAATGTCACCTTATCCCCTCTAGCCCCAAACCCTAGCAATCCTCAACCCGGCTCTGCACCCCATCTCCCATATGACTGCCTCACCTCGCAACCCCCTCACCTCATCCCCCATCTCCATCTTCCCCCCCCCCCCCCTTCTACCCCTAAACTCTCGCCTACCCCTGATTCCCACCTCACTAATACAACCTCTCTTCCACTCCCACCACCCATGCTCCATTCTCCCCTCTTCCCCTAAACTTCACTATCCTTCTCTTCCACCCCCCCCCCCCCAACCTCTCAATATCTATCTGACTCTCAGCCTCACTCTACCTCTCAACACCACCTATGCCTTTCTGACCCTCCTTTTTTTCAGACCCAATATGTCCTTCCTACCTTACTAGATACTATTGTAGTGTTGGTTGGTGGTGTTGTTGTGTTGTTCCTCCTTTACGGACAACCCAACCCACAAATCGGTAGAGTGCTTATACTTCACTAGGAGATCACACTAGGTGCTTCTGGCTCTTGGAGAGGGGCTCAACGTCACACGTTTAGGGGATGCGGCTCCAATACTTAGCCTCGTTGTCACGTGCAAACACCCACTCGAGCCGCTGTGACTCCCCACTCTCTCCTTATGTGATGCGATGTCCTCAATCCCCTTGACTTAATAGTTTTCCATCCTACCCTGTCCACAGCAGTAGTTCTTGATTCTTTCTCTCTCTCTCTCCTTATTTATTACATCCTGGGAAGGCTCACTAGGTCAAGGGCAAACACCAGCAAATTTGAATACATTTACTGGACAAAGCACATACACACATATAATAATAATAATGAATCCTACACTCAACACTATTTCAGTCAGGTTGCACTCCAACACCATCACAACTCTGTCATCAGTTTACCAAGTGGTGTCCTATCTTCTGATTCACCACCTGATACCGTCTACCTCTTCAAGTAGATCAAGTCTTATACTACAATGTTGCACTATCAGCAAGAGAATATTTATAAACATGTACAAGGAAAATCAGCATTGAATGCAATAACATATATATATATATCAGTATAAATGTTCCTTGATACACAACAATGATCAATTGATCACTCTATCAGTCCTAGAACACATACATCTGTAGTTAATCCAGCCTACGACTGTAACTCCATACTTCAGTATAAACTCCTTGGTA